CAAAGCATCTCTATTCCCCGTGCAAGAAATACATTTATATGATACAGTAATTAGAAAGCAAAACATGATTACACAAAAAAAAACACTCTCTCTAATAATAATAATAATAATAATAATAATAATCAAATCTTTCAATCATTCCGTAATCAAATTTACCAAAACAAACGAACCTGTATATATACATATATAAAAAAAAAAAGAAAAAAAAGAACAAAATCGCTACCCGGAAACTCATGAAACACATCAGATCCCGCGAACGGGGTGAAACCTTGCTATAGGAAAAAAAAAGTGCCAGCAAAAGAGAGCCGAAGAAAAAAGAAAAAATAGGGGAAAAAAAGACAAAAAGCAAAACAGCCAACTGCCATTCACACGACAACGATTAACGTAATATTGTAAAAAGCGCCGGTGGTTTTTGCACTGAGAGTTCGAAATCTCTTCTCAATAGCAATGACGAATGGGCGTTGAGGAAGGGCGAGGAGGGTTGGTGAGGGGGGGGGGTTTAAAGAGAAATGCAATGAGAAAGCTAAAGCTAGAATAAGAGAGAGAAAGAGACAGGGGGGTTTGGGGAGGTGGGGGGTATAGATGGTATTAGGTTGGCAGGAGGAAGGGAAAGGAAAAGGGGGTGGATGCGTGTACGCGCATGCACGGCCACCCATTGCCCTTCCGTAACCCGGTCGTGCGCTTTACGAGTAAGCTTTTGCTCCAGTAACCAACGACGCGCTACATCCGTCGTTTGCTACTCTCTTCGTTCACACATCTATACGCTTCACTCTCTCTCTCTTTTTACTCTATGTATTTCTCGCTCCCTCATTCTCATAGAAACATTCTCTCTCTCTCTCTCTCTCACTCCCCCTTTTCCTTTGTTTTTTATTCTACGAGTGTATTTCTCTTTTTTTCAGTCTTATACAAACATACTCTCTCTCTCTCTCTCTCACTCACATATACACGAAGTTTTCTTTTCTTACTCTTTCTTTCCATCTCTCTTTCTCCGTCTTTCATTCTCATTCAAAGATACAAACACCCTTTCCTGTTCTCTCTCTCTCTCTTTTTTTTTTTTTAAATCTCATTCACGCACATACATACTATCTCTCTTTCTGTTTCTATCTTCCTTATTTTTTTTACAAAGGTGTGCATATAAATAGAAGAAGTAAATACCTGGAAAGAGTCGCGAAGAAGACTCCTAAGCGAAAGCTCGTTAACCTCTGTGTTAAACGTTAGACTACGATTACGACTACGACGACGCCCCTTTTTCTACGAGTTACCAAGTTCGATGCGTTTAAGTGCATAAGATGCATCCGTTCGGAATCCAATTTATTTTTCCTTCTCCTATTATTTCTCTAACTCGATCATTATATTTATTTATTCATTCGATGATAACAATGTAATCGTTTTGTTTTGTTTTTTCTTTTTCTTTTTCCTTTTTATATATTTCTTTTTTCCAATTTTTGTAGAAAAAAAATAAAAATATAATATTTTTACGATAATTACTCTGGTCGACATTTAATTGCACTTACGTTTGTTAAATGTGTCGAGTACGTAATAAAAGCGACATTTAAAGTGCAAACACTGGCACACACACACACACATAAGTACCTACTCACGCTTATATATTTAAAATATCATTGTTATAAAAAATTGTCAAGTTCAAGTGTTCATTTATGTGTATGTGATCGAAAGTTCATATTTTATATATATATATAAATACGTTTTATAAAGAAAAAAAAAATATATAAAAAGTCAAACGTGATAATCCAAATTGCAATTAGTGTTAATTCGAATTTTCAAATTGAATATATCAAACGAATAGAAAGAATAAAAATAAAATAAACTATATTTCTACAATCGGTAAAAAAAAAGTTGTAAGTTAGGAAGAAAAGATAATGTGTAGTAAGTGCAGCGAATGTTGTCAAGGATCTAGGCACAGTGTGGACGTAAGCCCTGCCTCGGGATCAGATTCGGAAACTTCAGGTAAAGAATTCGAGCACCCCTTACTCTTCTCTACTATCCTTTATTGCAAAAATAAAAAAAGCAAATTACAAACAATTATATCCCCCCCCCCCCCAAAAAGAAAAAAGAAAGAAGGAAGCTTAAAGTTTCTATCAATTGAAAGCTTCAATTAGTTGCAACTAACTGATGGTCCCCACTCGGAAAGGTTCGCGTTTGTTCGGACAAAAAGTTTCATCGAGAGTTTGCTTCTGTAAATTCCCCTCGAGTCCATTTCCCCTCCCTTCCCCTAAAACCTCGTTTACCATTACCAACACCAACACCACCACCTATCTTTACCTCCCCTAAACCACCTCTCAAAGCTCTTCCACGATTCATCGAATAAATAAATTTCTCATCTCGCAGCTAGCTGTTATACGAAGTTATCTGAAGCTATCAGACCTGTATAAAAAGTCATTTTCCCTTCTGATAACGATGCTTTTATCGTCGCTTAACGACAAGAACGTTCGGCGCCTTTCTTTTTCCCTTAACCAAGACTTCTTATTTCCCTTTCCAACAACCATCGAGTCTTGGGAAATCGAGAAGAAAATATAATAGCACTGCTTTGGCTGCTGCTTCTTACAATCGGTTTTGTTTTCTCCTCCCCAACTTATTTTTATTTTATTAATTGATCGTTGCGTCAACAAAAGGGAAATAGACAAATATTTTCAAATTAATCATTTGTATTTATACCATTTGAAAATTTCGTAGCTCTATTTTGTTCATTTTTCAAAATGCTTTTTTCGTTCGAAGGATAAATTTGATATGCGAATGTTATACAAATAATTATAGTAATTGAACTTATTGAATTGTGATCATATTTAATCATTTGTTTTGTTTTGTATTTACTTGAACCATTTAGAAAATTCGTAATTTTGATTTTTCATTTTTCTAGGTGCGTTCTGTTCGAAGAATGAATATTTTTTTATGGTGGATTTATTGTCCAGAAAAATATATGTTTTATTATAGAAATATAATTATAATGATTAAATAGAATAAAACAAGTGGTGAAAGTTTCGATGCTCCGTAATTGAGTTTATAAAATTGCAAAACTAATTAATTATCGATCATATATTTTGTATTTGTTTGTTTATGTCAGAAATTAATAATAAAAAATAAATAGAAGTGTTTGAAATTTCACTTAGATTTGTTGATTACGAAAAACGAAGGCGGCTATGGTTTTAGTTCGTAACGAGATACTTCCGTATACGTTTGAAAAAAAAAAAATAAGTTTGGCGCGAGAAAGAAACTGAAGGAAGTGCTAAGAAGTAAAAGAAAAGGAAGAAGGAGGAAAAAAAACACATAAAAATAAGATCTACGTTTCTTGTCGGTGTCGTAAACGGGGTTACGCTACTGAAAAGGAGGAACGATGAAAAGAAAGAAAGTAGGGATGAGAGCTTACAGCTTCGAGCGAACTTTCTTACCTTTTCCTCCTTCCTTTTATCTCCTTTACCACTCCAGAATGGTCCCTTCATTTCATTTTTTTTCTTTCCTCCTTTTTTCTTTTTTTTTAATTCCGTAAATATACCAAAAGATATTTAGTCGCTTGACTTGACCTTTGCACTTAACTTGTTTCAAACCTCTACTTACCCCTATCTTTATTTTTTTAATCATCCTTCTCCTCGTTTTTTATGCTCCTAGTATTAACAAGTTGAAATTTCTTGTAATTTTAAACAAGAAAAAGGGAAAATGTTATTTGTGAAAATAGATGAACCTTATAAATTGAACTTTTAATAAACCAATCGATAATTGTTGCTTATTCTGAGTCGTGGTACAGTAACGATAGATTCATCAAATTTTCAAAATTCTATTCTACAATTTGAATTCGGCCTACCATACACTTTTTAAAATGAGTAAAATAAATATATATAACAAAATTATTAATAAAAATACAATAGATAGACCTTTCTTCAAGTGATGATTTTTAATCACAAATTCATATCTTAACTATCATCCATTTATTTTAATAACGACAATAAATAAATGAAAAAAATGAATGGTGAAAAAAATAGATGAACTTTTCAATTTGAACTTTGAAAAAGCTGTGTTGGTTGTTGCATATCATGGTTCATGGTGCAATTAACGATAGATTAAATAACGATAGACCTAATAACAAGTTCTTGGAAAGGAAAATAGGTTGTCATGGCGTTGTAAATCTAAATTCATATCTCCCTCGTGAGCAAGGAAGAACGTACGAGAGTAGAACGAGTACGTCTCATGGATCCTTATAAATTTACGAACGTTGTATACCTACGGAGTTCTGCGGAAACAAGAGTAGGTGTATGCCCCGTTACCTGTGAAATATGCAAACTGCATATACTAGGTATGGCACGGCTGTACCATAAACGTACACGTACGATTACTATCTTTCACGACCCATTTCAAAGGAGAGACGTATACCTCCCTCTTTTCTCTTATTTTTATCTATATTATTATTATTTTTTTTCTTTTTTATTTTTATCAAATACAAATGTTCAACTTTTTCCCCCATATGTTGCACAGAGTTTTATATTTACATTAGAAAATATTACGAGAAATATTGAAATTACTTTGTTCTATATATTAAATTATAAACAATGTTTTTTAAAAACATTGCGATGTACGCTATTTTTATTCGGTATTTTATTATCTTCAAATATAATACGAACGATGTTGTATAATTAATATTTTATATTATAAATATTTTATTATCTCTAAATAGAAAATAAAATATGAACAATGTTGAAGAATTTATAGTTTACTTCTTATATTTATTATTTTATATTTTATTGTTTTTTTTTTAAATATTTCGTTTCTAAATTAGTCAAATAAGCAACTGTAAGTATGACATATATAAGAAAAATATGAAATACTATAGAACGCTTAAGACATACACATATCTAAGGAAATAAAAGAATAAAAAGATACTACAGTTTTACCTTTTTATCTGTTAAAACGTTGCCAAGTAGGGAATCGATAGCATCTAGAATCACCTTTTACCCTTTCATAAATTTTATACGTATTCCTTCTTTTTACAGAGGAAGAGTGGAATCCAGATGGAAAAGGTCGACAATCCAATGATACCGGTAAGTCTTTCTCCTTCTTTCTCTTTATTTCTTTCCCTTTCTTATTCTTCTTCATTTTATTTAAAAACCTTCTTATCTTTAAAAAAAAAAAAAAAGAACAAATAAAATTTGAATCTCGAATAGCAGAGTTACATTTATTTTCTATATTTGAACGAATAGAGGCGTTAGATAGGAGAAGTTAACCTTTGGAATAGGCGAGGCGTTTGTTGGGTTTCATTCCCTTGTTCGGATTTCATCCCCTTCGAGCGTTTCTATTCTCAATATCAATGATCTGCAAGCAACACTATCATTACAAATCAACAATACTTTAACATACACTCTTTCTATTTTCATATATAAATTCATATTCATTAATATTATACATTTTTTTTCTTTTATTTCAAATATCAAATATCTAGTATATTTATTCTCTCTCTAACAATGTTAATGGAAACATTTTATATTTCTTCATATATTTTGTTCGAATTTATCTAAAATAATTCGTATTAATTTAGATTTATTCTCGTTAAATGGATTAGTAGCGTAGATTTAAAATATAATATAATTAATACCAATAGAAAGTATAATTATATTTATACTGATACTAGATTATGTTAAAACTATGATATATTTTATTAGCCTGGCTAATAAATAATTTATTGATATCAAGATACTACTATATAGATAAAACAAAACTTAATGAGATTAAATATTTTTTGAAAAAAAAAAAAAAAAAAGAAAAAATATGGCGGACTTTCGCAGGTATTTTGGAAAAAAACTCAGTTGATAAAAAGAGTGTCAAGGTATATCGACAAGTTGTATCATTTACCCCGAGAGAGGTCACTGTAGTTTAAAGGGACAGCGCTAGTGTTGAAAAGCATTGCTACGCTAGCGCCACGATTGGTCGTTAACCGAAACTTCAAACCGCGTGGCAGTCTTTTTAAACTGGAGACACGCCACACCCTATCACCACTTTCAGGCGGGAGTGGGGGAATGAGGAGAAGAGGAGGGTTGGTAGATAGATGACAAAGTCAGAGTCGACGATTGCGAATCGAGTCGAGAGCCCGAATGGTCCCGAGTTAAACCGAACTGAGCCGAACTAAGGAAACGCGCGAGCATCGACTCGATCGAAATTTCCTCCTCCTCCTCCTCCTCCTCCTCCTCATGCTTCTCCTCCTCCTCCTCCTTCTTCTTTTCTTCTTCTCATCTTTCTCCCTTCCTTCTCAAATTTCGCCCTTTGCTTTCAATTTACAGATTCACCATAAAAATCTCTTTTTCCCGTTGAAAATATATTCAGCGCATAAACTGGTCCGGTATGAATAATATTAAACTTTATTGCGAGGAAATGTCTTTACTTTGTAATCCTCTTTCCAGTTTATTATTTATCATTTTTTTCTTACTTTTTATATAATAAATATATAACTTTTATGAAATTTTGCTTTAGAAAATATTTGAAAAAAAAAAGTATAGAAAATTATTATCTTAAAATATTTTTGTGACGAGAGAAATAAAAATGAAGTAAATTTGAAGGATGGTTGAAAAAAAAAGACTGCATATCTGTATTTATTTTGATTATTGTTTTTAAAAATATATTCGAATATAATAAAGAGAGAAAGAGAGAAAGATGTCACAAGCACAAATTCTCCGACAACCAATATTGATTATAAAAGCATGGTAGTTGGCGTCGGCGTCGGCGTCGGCGTCAGCGTTGGCGTCGGCGTCGGATATTCCCCTAACCCCTACTAGCATCATGCGAATCTGCAACAGCGCACGCTCGATCTCGTGCGCTGGAGACGGACAATAGATGAATTTCGTGAGACGGAAGAGGTGGAGGAGTAGGAGGAGGAAGGAAAAAAGTAGTAAAAGGAGAAGGTAACGACTGGTGGGGGTGGTGGATAACGAAGAGGGGATTTGAGGGGTAAAGGGAGAGAAGAAGGTTCTTGCATAGTGGCGACGTCGTCGTCGGAGGCGGTGGTGGTGGCGGTGGCGGTGTGTTGACGCTGGTGTGGTGGTGGTGTGGTGGTGGGTTGGTGGTGGTGGTGGTGGTGCTGGTGGTGGTGATGATGATGATGGTGAAGGTGGTGGTGGTGGAGGCGGCGGCGGCGGTCGCTACGACGAACGGTCGTCGTGTCACACGCGTTATTTCTCATTTCTTATCGTAAGGAACGAAATTAATTCGTGTACAATGTATGAGAAAAGGAAAAACATTTCTGTATTTATTCGCTTTTGATTGACTCCGAAAGTTGTTCTAAGTTTGAGACGACGAGGAGTGGGGCTGGGGTGGTTCTGAACTATCAGTGAGATATTTATTTTCCTCATAGTGCTTTTTTCCATTTTTTTTTTATCGTATTAAATAATAGTTTCGAATGGATATGACGTAAGTATTTTTAGGAAAAAATAATAAATAATTGATTTTTTGTATTCAGTATTATTTGTGTCAGCCTCTCTAAGTTTGTATTTCGTTTATCTGTATTCGTCTATCTTAGCATCTCGTTCATTCTCTTCGTCTTTCTCTTATAATCGATGCGAAAGAACGAAAAGACTTAGCGAAGCGAATTAATGGCGCTCGCTTGCTCGCTCGCTTGCTCTGAGACACCTTTCAATGTCACGGTTACTACTCTTCTACTAACTCTTTCGACTTTCTCTAGAGACTCATTCTCTCAACATTTCTTCTTCGTCTTCTTCTTCTTCCTCTTATTCTTCTTTTTCTTCTTCCTCCTCTTTCTTCTCTTCTTCTTCTTATTCTTTTTCTTCCTGTTTCTCGTCGAACCACACAACAACCATACAATTTTTGTATTTATTAATTTGATTATTTCACCAACACGTAAAAATAACGCGCGGGTCATTAGTTTGTCACAAACCACGTGTTAGAAACACCGGGACGCTTAATCTTCATCAATAATTTATTCCTTATTCCATAAGTGCATAGATATTTACTCAGAATGATTTTGCATGTTCCTCTCGATGCATTCGTTGACAACAAAAAATTAAAACTTTCCAGGATGGTGTTTGTTTAATGATTGTGGGAGATCGTTCGCATAGAGTACGATTTCGAAATTTATTTGCCGAAAATTTTGGATAAATGTGATTGTACAAAAAAAAAGAGATATATGAATGCATTTTGTTTGATGGTGTGTTTTATGGCAACGAATCGATCAGGCTTGTCCGTGATTCGCTTCCGTCGGTCTCGTCGTTCAGAGCTCTGGCCGATCGATGACGCGTTCGTCTCGTTCTTCCGTTTTCCGGAACGTCGATTTACTTCTTCGTCCTGTCTATGTTTTACGATATTATTTTCAAATCCTTCCTAATGTTGTCAACAATGACACGATCAAAATTAATACTCGATTTAATATGAATATATTGGCTGGACGGTAATCGTCATATTTTTTATTTATTTCTTTTTAATCCTTTTTTTTATTCGATCGAAGTTTTTTAAATAAATCATTTTTATTTATTTATTTTGCATTTAATATACTTTGTTTTATGATATGTGTTTTCAATATTTTATTCATCACTTTTTCAAGAAGTTAAATTAAATTTTGCTCTATGATATTTTTTATTTATTATTTTTTTGTCGATAAGTTTAATTAAATGTTTGTGTAGAAGGACTTTTTATTTATTCTTTTTCGAAAAGTTAAATTACATTCGTGTAGACGACTTTTGATTATTTTTACATTTTATTTTCATTAATATCCACTTACCAACCCTCGAAAGTAACCAACAAATATATTAATATAATCCACCCATAAAACAACTCTTATATCAAACAATAATTAAGCTCTAATTTAACGCATAATTTAATCCTACCTTTAAAAACTAATGCAAATATAAAACTAATAAATTAATTCATAATACTCTCTATAAGACAACCCCTCACTCCCCCCTCGAAAAAATTATACAACGCCAATAATTTACCTTTTATACATAATTAATATCAAACTTTTATAGACTTTGGGTAACCTTTTTTTCTAACCCAAATATAAATGTTTCCTTTCTCTCTCTAAAAAAAAAAACAAAAACAAAAAAAAAGAAAGAAAACTAATCATTCATATTTACATTCCTTTACCCGTCAACCCAGAGATACCCAACACTTTATTTTTTTTCTTTTAAACGAATGGAAACTCGAGTGATGGTGAATGGTAGACGACGACATTGGTACATTGGTCGAGGGTTTGCAGAAGGGTGAAATTAAAGGAATAGGCCTGGGTTTGTATGTATGCAACGTCGACGAACGATAGCCAACCTCTCCGGAGGCTTCTCTCTTTCTCTCTCTTTCTTCCTTCCTTCTTTTCTTTCTTTCTTTCTTTCTACCTCTTCTCATTCGTTCGCTCGATTCTGCCCTACCCTTCATCCATTGTTCCTAAGTTCTATCTCTCTCCATTTTTTTCTCTCTCATTCTCTCTCTCTCTCTCTCTCTCTCTCTCTCTCTCTCTACCTATCTATCTCTCCTTCTGTACCGTTGGAATAAAGAAAGCCCTCGTAGTCGTTCTCGGAACGTGCACAAATAGCAGCTTAATCGGCTATCGACTTCTCCCTTCAACCCCACCTCGCACCCTCTCTGCCCATTTCTTTTTTTTTGCAAAGTCGATTCGATGCAGTTGGTAGTTCCATCTCTAAATCGTGTCTTCAAAAACTATCATCTCCCACTCTCTCTCTCTCTCTCTCTCTCCTTTACTCCCTTACAATCATGTACATTCACTTTCTTTCTCTCTTCCTCTCTTTTAATTTCAAACAGATATACACACACTTTATTTCTTTATTTCTTTCTCTTTTTTTTTCCCCTTCATTTTTCACTCTCTCATTCAGCATACAAACACTTTTTCTCTCTCTCTCTCTCTGTCTGTCAGTGGTTTTACTTAATCCTAAAACGATATTGATCTATCTTTTCATGTGTTAATTCTTCTTACAATAAGAAAAGATTTGGAATTAACACTTACGAATTATAGTTAGAAAAATAACGATTTTGAAGTATCTTATTTTTTATTAAGATGTTTAGAAATAAGACTTTATAGGATAATATATTTTGTAATAAAATATTCCCCATCGAGTATAATTGACTCGATAACGATTTAAATCCTCTGTGAAATATATCTATTATAATAAAATATAATTTATTCTAACCATTAGCACACTTAAGATCTTAACAATTACTCCAATATTTCTAACCTGTACTATCCTAAAATAAAATAATAACAGAACTTTTAATGTTCCAAAAAATTATTCCATTGAATCTATAATAAACTTATTAATCACGATCTTTTGTAAAAAATTATCTGGAAAGGAAAAAAATGATTAATAAACATTAGAGAAGTAACCTTTATCCCTTGACATTTAGAAATTTCAAATCCTCCCAAAAATCAGACAAAAGATCTAAACTTTCGTGGCTTCCTTTTTTTCAAAAGCTCATCCTCATTCTGTCCAATATAAAGTTGACTGGATCACGATGGAAAAGAATTACTATCACGATCACGATCATGGTCGTATGTTGCGCGTACATCGAACCTAACGCGCTCTTCTAAGATTTCCTTAAGCGTAGTAGACGGTCTCCTTCCGTCTATTTAAAGACGACCATTTCAAGAGAAAGAGAGAGAGAGAGAGAGAGAGAGAGACTCATTCCCTTCTCTTTCCTCTCCTCTCCTCTCCTTTCCACGATCGAGCGCATCGTTGATGTACTTAAAGAACAAACACTACGCGCAACAGTTTGTCCAGGCTTTGGTATCTATCCCTCAAGATATCACCCTAATCGTGGACAGCTCGTTGAGAATCGATCGATTTGAAACGGCCATTGCCATTACTATTTCTCACACACACACACGCACTCTCTCTCTCTCTCTCTCTTTCTTTCATATATATACACATACACATTATCTATCCATCTATTTATCTATCAATCTCTATCTCTATATATATATTTCGTTCTAACGAGATATATCTCGATATCTCTCTCCCACACATCGTTATCGTTGAATTTCCGACCGATAGATTAGATTTCTGACGCTAGCACGCGTTCACGTCTCTGAAAATAAACTTTACTCTCGCAGTACGCATCGTGCCCTCGTTCCGTCACAACTCTGACCAAACTTAACTATACTGCCATTTTCTACTCTTCGGGTATTATATTATATTACAAGTATAGTTGCTATAGTTCGATTATCATTATCCTCACTTTGATAAACATTTTTCGTCATTTTTCATTGTTCTTCTCAGTGATTAATAATTGTTTCGAGTAGAATAATTTAACTATTGAAATTAGTGTTCGTTATTAAATTATTAAATAATTTAATGAAATTTCAATGATCACGAGTTTGAGAGAAGTTTTAGTTTCTTTCATTTTCTTTATATCCGAGTGATTAGTTTTTTATTTTCATTAAGTCATTAAGAAAACCACAGGAAATTGTGAAACATTTAAATCATTGACCGAAAGGTAGTAAAACTTGAATGATTTTTTTTTAATTGTCATTTGTCTATAATTGTGTCTTTGAAATTACATATACATATTAGATTTCGATCGATTACTCGAGATTATTGTCATTGAAATTGATGAATGAAATTATTCGAGTGAGAAGAAAAAGTGATCTAAAGTTAACGTTTCATGTCGAGTTTCTAATCGTAAAACGCGCTTCGAACGCGATAAGAAGATTAATCAATGATACGTAAATAGATTGAACGAGATAGATTGAGATAAAAAGGGAGGAAGAGTGAGATAAATTTTTATAGAATTTTGGATAAAAGAGGAAAAACGTTTAACTAAACTTTTAATGTATCTACCATCATCATCATGAATAGTAAAAATCTAAATGTTCGATATTTCATATTAATAATAATAATAATAACTTAGCTAAGTATATACGCACGTATATAAATAAAAAAAAAAGTTAAAAAATAATAGGAGCGTTTAAAAATGATATGATATATATATACAATGTCATATTTACGTCATCGTTTGCGCACGTAATTTATGCCACAGTAAAAATATCTGACAGATATTTTTATAGAATTTCTTTTTTACTATCAAAATGAGACGAACATTAAATATCAAAATAAAAATGTTTAATATCGAATACTAATTACAATAATTCAATTTAATGTAAATAACTGACAAATAAAAAGAATAATAATTTAACATAGAATTTTGAAACGAGATAAAAAGATTCATTTTAGAATCTTAATAACCAATTCTACAAATCCGAATTAGCAATAATCAATACTAATTACAATAACCAAACTCAATACTCCCCCCCCCCTATGAAAATAATACAATACAATTAATAAATAGGAAATAATATTACAAATATTATTACATCCAATTAATGTGATATTCAACGTTAGAAATATCCGATGTTCTAGTGACTAGATCATGCTACTTGAAATCCGCGAAGCATGCATAGGAAACTACAATCCAGAGATACGTTGCTCTTTGGCTAACGTTCTCTCTCGCGTACCAGAATTCGAGTCTCGTCATTAATTGGACGATAGACTCAACGACGCCATGCCGAACAGAAGCTGCCATCCTCCTCCTCCTCCTCCTCCTTCCACCTCCCACCCTATCTCTCGTTCGTTAGTTCAGCACCGAGCTAACTCCATGGCCCCTTTTTGACCACGTTGACGTCGTCATCCTCGTCCTCATCCTCATCCTCATCCTCATCCTCATCCTCGTCGTCGTCGTCGTCAGAGTTAGCAAACAACCGACCTATTTTCATTGGGAACAAATTTTCAACTATGACAATTTCGCGTATTCCCATTTCAAATTCGTTTGATTTTATCACAGAAAATAATCATCCTATTTAATAATGATTTATTCTTCCGGTCGGAGAGAGAGATAACAAGGAAAATAATTTGTTAATGATCTTTCTTATCTCCCTATCATATATTGCAATTTATGTGATCTTATAATACTATAAACAGATATTATAATTTACGAAAATCAAAATTGTTGATGATGTAGCTGCTGAATAATCTAAAAAGAAAAAACATATTATGCATATGAAACGCTTGGACTATTTTTGGCGTTGAGAAGTAAAAGCCTTTACGCATGGTTTTACCAACACCTAATCTATTTCTAGCAACTTCTAAGCGAACTTATTCTAGTCTTTCCATAAAGAATAAAGAAAAAATTCAATTGAAGTATCATACCATAAAAAAAAGTCAAATTTTTCCTAAAAATTCAAATATATTAGTCAATGGGTAGTATAATTTTTCTTTTTTAATAGCTTGCTACTGCTTTTCCTATTTAAATAACACGAGAACGGGACTCGTTGACCAATCATAATATAATTCAATTACAACTAATTTCAAGAAAAATCTATGACCCTGCTAATCAAGGGGTCGTTGCATAATTTCTTTTATATTTTCATTTAATTTATATACTATCAGAACTTATTAAAGATATTTACCGAATTAATTATTTATTATCGACCATTATAACGAACAATTTATAGTCAACATGTTCCACTTTGTTTTTTTTTTTTTCAAAAAAAAAAGAAGAAAAAAAATAGTAGATCTAGCAAGTAATCTAATAACTGGAATATGTAAATAAATGATGAAAGTTTATTAAAGGAAATAATTGAATTTATTTTCCAGGTGGATCCGGCAGGGTGGAGGGTGAAGTTGGCTCGAACGAGCTTACCCTCACACCGGGTAGACGAAGTATCGGGGGAGGTGGAGGAAGCATCGGTGGTGGTGGCGGAGGTGGAGGGGGAGGAGGAGGAGGAGGAGGGGGAGGAGGTGGTGGTCCAGGAATTGGCGTGGTTGGTAGTGGTGGTATCGGTGGTGTTGGAGGAAACGAGATTGGAAGTGGTGGAGGAAGGGCAGGTGGAGGAGGTGGGAGCCGTTCGAGGGACGAACCCAGAAGGCACACCCTTGGTGGTGATCATCAACCGTCTCTTCATCATCAACAGTTCAACGCCGGGGGCCAACAATTGCACCCCCTTCATCCCCGTCACTTGCCGCCACCCCACAGCCAATACGGCACCATGGATCTCGAGGTGAATCTTTGCTCGTGCAACATGTCAATCAATTACGCATACAATTCCATTATTTTTCCCAAAATTTTACTTTTTTCATATTTATCTTATTATTATTATTATTATTCTCCTACTTTCTTCTTTTTTCGAGACAATAAATATCATTTTTTTCCTAACCTTTTGCAACTCAACCCCATCAAGGCCACAGCAACGTTTATTTTGAAATCTGAATAGAAATTTTTCATCGTGTTTTCTAAACAGAACAAAATATTACTGGAATTAAACATTTTGCCTTGAATAGGTTTACGCGTGTATGCACATACGTGTTTTTTTTTGTTCATTTTTCATTTCTAAACAATTAATTAAAGTAATTGCGATTAATTAACTGTTTCCAAGAACAAACATTTTAACTGTTTGATCAGAATGAATTCAGTGAATTATTAGGACGTAGCAAGTGATCTCATAGTGCAAAAGGTTAGCAAAAAAGAAAAAGGGAGGGTAAAAAAGGAAAATAATGATATACTTCATATTATAACGGATCAAGGAAAGACGTGAGACGCTTTTACGAGGTTGAACGATGATATGTATGTATGAAGAAGGAAAGGAGGAATCTAACGAAGGGAAGCAGTTAATTAACTATGCACACACACACGCACACACAAATATATATATATATATATATATATATTCGTTCTCATTCGCGTCTTTGTCACGAACGAGACAAAGTCTGTCGTCTTTCCTTGTGAATATTTCTCAATTTAAAAATACTCTAAGTAAAGCTCGAAGGAACCCCATAATTCCTAAAACGTACGTATTATTAATAAATTGTTATTATTTATCTACCCTATATTTTTGTAATCTTAATCTAAATTTTTATACGTGTACCGATAATTGCAACCGGTGAAACGAGTGAAAGAAAATGAGACAAAAATTCATTTCAATTATTTGTATAAAGAATATGAATAATTGTCGAAGGGAATTTACATCTTTTTTCCCTCTTTTTTTTCGATCACGCTAATGTCGTAATTAACGGTACGCGTAAGTATGAATTTTTTCCTAATTATACTCTAATTATCTTTTTCTTCTCTTTTTATTATTATTTTTTTTTATTTATTAATGAATATATTAACCACTCATGCTCGCGCCTGTTTTGTAAATAATTATTTTTGCTAATTTTTTAACTATCTTTTCTTTTTGTCTATACTTTCTGCCTTTTTGTTCAAAAGAATTTCAAAAGAAAGAATAGAACAGAAAAAAAAATAAAAAATATTTAATTTTAATGATTTAAAAAATTACTCAAGAACTTTGGAATCATCCCGTATGTGTGTGTGTGTGTGTTTTTTTACACGTCTAACTGGTTTACTTGTATGTGTGTTTCCGTGTACCTGCCTTGCTGTGCTACAGATGGGGACCAAGTCTCGCCAGAGAAAGGTAATTTTATTATTTTCTTTTTCTGTCCCTTTTAATTTAATCTAGTTTACGTTAAAAATGATCCTTAAACGTGTTGTGTTATATATTTTGGATTCTTTTTTACGTTTGTAATTCACAAGCATCTAAACGTGGCACGATTGCATGAGTAAATTCCTTGTTTCTTTTTTGATCACTGTGCTTTATTGTTCCGTAGTTTAATAAGTTTATGATGAAAAAAAAAATAAACATTTGTAAAATTTGATTCGTAATAATTAATGGGATTATTTATTTCAGTCGCCTCTTCTTCGTGGTTATACACCAACCTCGTCAGCCATGTTATTCGACGATGATCCAGGAATCATGTCCGAAGTTGAAACCTCCAGCACTGGATTTCGTAGGGGTGGAAAACAAAGAAGTAGTCTACCCGTTGTCCGAACTCCTAGCAAAACTTTGGAACGACCATTAGGTAACTCACGACCCACGAGCATAATTTATTATCTATTATTTTTATTATTATTATTATTACTATTACTATAGATAAATTTGCCTATGTATGTACGTATGAAGATAAATCAAAATTATCTAGTTTAATTTTTTTAAATTAGTTAGATTACTCACGATCTACGATAATATAATATATTGTGTTTAAATACGAACCCAATGTTTATAGTAAATTTATCGGATTCTAGTTAATTTTTTAAGGTCAAGTATACTTTTTTATCCCGAATTTGTAAGGTAACTTTTTCTTTCGTGATACGATATTATAAGTAAGAAAAAACTGTGTTTTAGAGAAGTAAATACTTGTTTGGTAAATATATAGTAATATTGTGGATGAATATACCCATATGTACGTGCATATAATAGGTAAAAATCTTACGTAAATGGAAGCTTAGAAATGTTTTAAATGAGGTGACGTTGAAAAACGTTTTCACTGATAGAACGATTCGTTTCTGTTGACGATTCCCCAGGACTGGTGTTCCTACAGTACAGGAACGAGACGAAGAGGGCACTTCTCCCAAACGAAATAACCAGCATAGATACTGTAAAAGCTCTCTTCGTCAGAAGCTTTCCTAAACAGTTAACTATGGAATATCTCGACAGTCCTCATGTCAAGGTTTACATTCACGATAGTAACAAAAACGTCTTCTATGAACTAGAGGATCATAGGTGAGAGACTAACTCTTTTACGTTTTAATTACATTTCTTTTTCTTTAAAATTAATGTTAAATAAAATAGTCTTCGAGAAAAGAAAAACAAAAGCTTAGATCTGTAGCTTTGGAAGCTGTCAACCTATTCTCGATTATATTTAACAAACTAATTCGATAAAATAGTATAATCTGTAGTTTATAAATTATGGTATAAAATATTAGTTTGTTTAAATTATAATTTTTATATATTAGTATACCAAAAATTAGAATCTTTTTCTACAGTACATATACTATTATAATTAAACCGTTAAGTATATATTTTTTATTATGGTTTTCTAACAAATTTTATAAATCTTTGATATGTGTGTACTTAAAATTATGTTTAATAAAACGAAACAATAGTCACAATTTCGAATCAGCATCCAAAATATTTCACACAAATAGAAGATCTAACTTTAAAAGCAACAACATTTCTATCGATCCTATCTATAATAATAACATTTGATTTCGATCTCGATTCTTAGGTTACATCTACGTGATATAAGGGACAGAAGCGTATTAAAACTTTTCGAAAGTGCCGACGGAGTAGCTGGAATGCCAGGACCTTTGGGTATACCAGGAGGTGGAGGACTACCACCTCATTGGGAGGATCAAAGTTATTTCAGTGAGCCTGAATTTGACAGCGAGTATCAACATCAACATATTCACAAGAGCAAGGTAAGAAAGAAAAACTTTCCTTTTTTTCCTTTTTTCCTTTTTTTTTAAGCAATATTAATTTCTATAATATTTTAAACATATTATTATAATGATAACTACAGTATAATGTATATACACGAAGAGAAGAATTTTTCTTCTTATCTTACAAAAAAGATATAATCAAAAATTTCATCTCGTAATGTAAACTTAGGTACTATGGACTTAAGTGGTGAATAACCCTATTTGAAATTTGTCTGAAAAACTTTCGTCCCTTATTATGATAGAACGACAACAACAAAATGATATAATAATTATCTAACCGAGATAATACTGTATTTCCAAATTATCTATAAGAAAATAAAACAAAATAAAAACAATGGAATTTTTCGACGTGATCTTCGAAATGAAAAAAAAAAAACAGAAAAAAAAATTCATTAGAATTTCTCAATAATTTACGTTTAGAAAATAATTATCTATCGTTAAAGATGGGGATGAGATTATCTATCAGCCATATTTATAGGCTTGGTGATACCCTGTCGTTGAGGTTTCGAATATTGAATTTTCTTCGAAGAAAACAATTAAGAAAGGAAATAAATGTTTAAAAAGCTTTGCAAACCTGCACGGCAGGTAAATAAAAAGCCCCAGAGTAAACCTTTTTAGGTACAGATCTCCATCCCATAATGAGGGCTTTCTCAAAAGGTTCTTCGGCACAGCCATCGCAAATATCCATGATCCTTTTAACTTCAGCTTCGGCTGGTTCTCTTTCGTCATCTTTATTATCTTGTTTGACCAATTGAAGATCGAAATTGGCTAAACCGGATAAATAATTATTGTCTAAACCTTGGGCGACAGGATAATTGTCATCTAACAATAAACCGTCCGACAATTGTAATATTCCTCTCTTTTTTTTCTCCTTTAATTGTATTTTCCCTTCTTTTTCTGATTCCTCTTCTCTGGTCCTTGGTAGAAATTTCACCTAAAAAATATACAAATAATAAAGAAAATAAGAGAAAAGAAATGCGTTGAAAACGTGGGTTGAACTTATACGAAATTTCATTATGATCAAATTGAAACAAACTTTGTTATCGCTGTTGTCAAGTGAAGTGGACGATGACGTAACCATTGCATCGATTTTATCCTCAAGATTTTCCCTCTTCGATAGGTTTTTCTCTCTTTTAAAAAGTTCATGATAAGCTATGGTAGGTCTGCCTAAAATATTGACATAAACGCTTGCTGAATCTTGTGGCAAAGTAACTGGCAAGGATGGCGACGGCGAAACAAATGGTAGAATTGTTGAAAGATTTTCAAGATTGGCTGGGGGAAAGGGTTGGGCTGGTGATTCTCTTTGGGGTGGTAATGCTGGATGACGTACGATCACTCCGTTTCTAACTATTTGCAACGGTGCACCTGGATTAATCTTCACCTAAATTCAAAATATTCAAATGTTAGTAAATGTTKTTTTTTTTTTTTTTTTTTTTAATGAGACATCCAGATTTTATTTATTAATTGTCACGACATACTTGAGGATTAATTTGACCCGCAGTTAAGAATGGATTAAGTGGCAGGGGTGGTCCCGTAACTGGTTGTCTTGTCGTTGGCCTTGGGGTGTTATTTGTTGTGTCGTGTTCGTAATGATGAGCATGATGATGTTTGTGATCTTTGTGAGCTTTTCCAGCTGTCAAAGCAACACTGTATAACTGAACCATTGTTATTTCTCCTAACATTCCTCCTGATCCTGTAATTTGTAAAAGACAATTTCTTCATAATGTATTAGAATAAATAATTAATTAAGGTTGTTGGATAATTGAATATAAATATATATTTTATTAAATATTATATTCGTGTTGAAAGTTGTTACGCGACATAAATTATTATAATTTGCTTCAGTAAAAAAAAAAAACAGAAATTTTTCTTATAATTTTATACGTAAGTTATTTAATGAATAAAAATAATATGAAAAATATTCGATCAAAAATTTGATCTAATTTTCTTTTCTTAATTAGGACTAGATGAAATTAAAATAATAACGACGTCTAATTATTATGTCGACTTGAAAATTAATCAATTACACAACACAACCTAATACACAAATAAAGTTCGTTTAATTAGAGATTGAAATTGAGAGAGAAGGAGGTAAATAATATCAGATCGATCGGTAGGAATTGTCCTATACTTTGAATAACTCACCTGGTGGAGAACCTTCCCCTTCTAAAAAGCCACCACCCAATTGGCGTTGCTCTTGACCTGATATTGGAATACCACCACCTTTGATGACGTGACCGACCAACTGAAATGTTCAAACAAATTCCTACGTTAATACGAATTCCATAATTAGTACGATCTAAAATGAAATAATTTATATTCATATGATGAATATCATATGAAATGTAATTGAAAATAAATTTAATAACGATCGTAAAAAAAAAGTATAATTAATTACGATAATCATCAAAGAACTTTTAAATAATTATAATTTCATAATAATAAAAATATATAATAATAATAGAGATATAAATTGTGAGAAAGTTGAAATGTGTGTTGAAGTTACGATAAAAAAGAAACAAAGTATTGTAAATAAAAATTGACGTTGAAAGTACGATATTAAACGTATTTGACTTGAGAAATAAATTGTACAAAATTTCGAAGGAGTATTTGAAACGTGATACATAAAAATGTAATTAAAAAGAAAAAGAAGAAAAATGAAATAGAAAATAAAATAAAACGAATGTAGTAATTGGGAGTTTCGATTTGCCTTCACATTGACCCCAGATCGATATGTGTCTTTGGTAATTTGTAATTTTCCAAAGGCCACTTTCTCTCGAGTGCATTCGTCACGGTGCACCGACTTTCAAGAACGACGAGCCACTCGACGAACGATAAGTCAAGAATCATTTCCAGGTGTACTGCCTCTACTTCCTAACAACCACTACTATCTAACTATCTATTATAGCAGTAGTAGTAATAGTAACAGTAATACCGTCTCTAGTACTAATTTTTATTAGTATATACATATATATCTCGTATGTGTATTTACTCTGCTCACGCGATCGTTACTCCCCTCTCCAAATCTTTTTCCCATTTCTTTTATTAATGACAGGTACACTCCTACTTTCTATACCTTTATGGAACCTAAACGTCGACTTTAAAAGAAAAAAAAAAACAAACAAACAAACAAAATTCATCTCTTTTCCTCCCTTTTTTTTTTATTCCTGTCTGTCAGTCAAATTTTTTTTTATACACTTTTTTTCTCTCTACAAATTATAATCCAGTAAAAAAGCATCATCGATAATTACATGATCTTCAAATGCGTCTGTGAATTTGACTTTCTTTTATGTTAATTTTATAATAATAATAATAATAATAATAGTAATCGTTAATATAAATGATCATTTGAGATATGAAAAAATGTTGATCACATTCTATAAGGTTTTTTTTTATTATACCATAAGGAGAATTAATTTTGCTTTAATAGAACACATCAAAGGACAATCAAAGTGCAATAAGCAATAAAAATAATAATACCGACAATAAAAACGATCATTTGAAATTCAAGAGCCTTTCACCGACCTCGAAAGCAAATGAATAAGTAAAACTTACATGATGGATTATATAATAATAATGCGCGTGTGTAACATTCGATCGAATCACTCAAAGCATAAATAGTATGAACCTTTTTACTGTGTCATCTAATACATTCTTAAAAACAGTGACATTTAATCTAACAACAAGATGGAAAAAGAAACATAATCTAAACGACAAGATTAATCAACATGTAAATTGTTAAAAAGCAAATAGAGTATTTTATCATCAATAGTTAATAATTATTAACTATGAAGATATATATTAATCTATTGTACAAAACTATTATATTAATTATTATATTTAAACATTAAATTATACACAATGGCCAATATTATTGAATAAAACAAAATCGATAAATATTCTATAATAAAAATAAAACAAAAAATAAATGAAAAAACATATAATAACAACGTACGAGCAATTAAAACAAGACACGTAACTACACGCATATACATAAATAAATCGATCAGGATAAAAAAGGAAATAAAAATAAAAAAAGAAAGAAGAATAATTCGAACAAAAGGGTTCGTGGTAGGAGGAAGGGTTTATTTAAGAAATCTCAGTTTTCTTACAGTATACTCTATGAAGAAGGTGACGTATTATGCATGGACAAAAAAAATGAAAAGAAAAAAGAATGAAAAAGTGAGAAAGTGTGAGAGAAAAAGAGAGAGAGAGAGAGAGAGAAAGAAAGAGGGTAGGTTCTTTATCTTAGAGATAAAAGACAATGTTCGCTTACCCTGTTGTTGAACCCACGACCTACACGCTCGTCGTTGACCCAAATCTGCCATTCTCCGGTACGGCCATTCCAACTCTGACAAGAGTGGTACCATTTGTTAAGTCTCAAAGGATAATTCAATCTATACAAGTTGTGACCATCCACGTTCATCATGAAATACGAACTTCTTGGTGTGTTGGCTACCCATGATAGAATACCTCGTGGCTGATCACCAACTGAAAATAATAAGAATAATCAGAATTTTTTAATAAGCATTTTGTGTAGTTTCATTTGTAATAAAACAATATTTGGATTTTGATTTCTAATCGAATAGAAGATATGAAATGATTTCTAGTTTGATCTGTAGTAAAATGATATTATGTTCAAAATTTCATTTCTAATCGAAAATATAAGTGATATGAGTATTTTATAATTGATATAGAATAATCTAGAATTTGTGTGTGTGTGATCTGTAATAAATGAAATAATTACGATTTAATTTTTATATTGAATCGATAGTTTTTTTTTTTAAATGATGATCTATAGTTTGATCTATAATAAATTAAGGGAATTTTTGGAATTGAATATAATTTTTATTTAATACGTATCAATTTATATCTTTCGATGTGTATTTTTAGATCATTTTCGATCACATCATCGGAATTAATTAAATCGTTACATAACGCTATCTTTTATGAAATAATAAAGATGATGTAATAACGAGTTTGTAGATTTTTTTTAAATAGATCATTTCATATATATATATATTTGATAGAACCATCGATCATAATAAAGAGCGACCTAAATCGAAACGAAAAATTAACTTTCAGAATGATATAATGACGACGTAATAACATTTTTATCGATCTTTACTAATTATATTTCTAAAATCCTATAATAAAGTAAGGAAATCACGTTTTATACATCCTATAAGATGGGTCAAATATTCTTGGGTGATTTAAAAAAATTAATTGCTTTTTTTTTTGTGATTGCAAATTATAAAGTATACGAGATTAAAAAAATCTCGTAAAATAGTAATTAAGAAACTAGAAACAAGGCTCATTTTGTAAATCACACATAAATCATTTGAAATTTCTACTCTATTTATTTAAAAATAATTTGTCATCATACAATAAAATTGAAATAAAATATTTTGATAAGATTATTAACATTGGTATGCACTCTTTGTAGAATTAATTCACATAAATCAATCGTAAAATACACGTGTGCTTAAAGTTTTTAGATAATTTTAACAATTTTTAATACACTTCCAAAATTTTTTATGCATACGTTTTTTACAGATCATAAAATTAAACGCGTCTAAAAATACATCTCGCAAAGTATTAATCTAGAATTTGTCATGAAATCACTTAGAAAATTGTATAAATCATTTCTTTGCAATTTCAAATAAATTCGTCATTTATTTTCTTCAATCGATAAAAATATCTTTTATAGGAGTATAAATAATTGTATATAAATTTGAGGGAATGAGTATTTAACATAAATCAAACTTAATATAAACATATAAGACGATATCTATAAAAAAAACCCATAGATGACTAGAAAGTTTCTTTAACGACTTAAAAGATTTTTTTCAATTTCTATCAAAGTTTATAATTTACTATATATAACGGTACATGAAAATCTACTTTTACATATATACTTAGGTGTACATACTATTACATCGAGTATGTGAACGATTCGATGACGATGGGAAAAGCGAAGGTGACTTTACCGCGAAACGAAACTTAAACGAAACGAAACGAAACGAAGCGTCTGAGTTAAAACATTAAATGTTGAATGTTAGTAGTGCCTTTCTAAAATTCGCTTTGGAAAGTGGCTTTCGTTATTTTGATAACTCACCTGTAATAACTCTACAGATTCATTTCATATATCATACATACCTATATTTTTTCGATTACACGCCGTACACTTTCGCGTAAAACAAATAATTAAAATCAATAATAAAAATTAATTCATTATATATTTATTAAAATCCTAAATAAATAATTATAATAATAAAAATTATATCACACTTTACTTGAAATATATAAATATTCATAGTAAAATATAAATCCAAAAAATATATATTTGATTATTATATTTAAATAAAGACAAAATTTGTCCGAATAATATTCGATGAACCATTAATTAAAACTTCGATCGATCATACATTGGATATGTATCGAAAGAGATATTACAAGAGAAGAACGGAAGAGAGACTTTCCCTGGCTTAATTTATACGCATCAAGCGAAATGCAAGGTGAAAGGGAAGTAAGGAAAAAGAAAAGAAAAGAAAAGAAAAGTGAGAAAAAAGTGAAAGATAGAAAAAGAAGACACATAAGTGACGTTCTCACCTGCATAAGAAAACAAAGGATGATCATTGGTATGATTGTGAAACTTGGACCACATACAAAGAGTAAACTCTTTCATATTCGGCAAGTCGATCTTGTAATGAATATACTGCAAAAAATAAACAAAAAAATAAATAAATAA